CCCTCATCTGGTCCGACAAGTGGCATCAGTCGCTTTGGCCTGTGGACCTCGGTACTTCAGCTGCAAAAGATGAGAGATGCAAAATCTGCGAAACGAGCCTGGCTGCCGCAATTGAGCCTCGTCGCCTAGACTGACAACTGAATCCAAGTGCAGCACAGAAAGTTCCCGGACAGCCTTCTAGTTCATCTAGATCGTCATCGGCTTCGTATTCATAGTCCTCGTCCTCATCGTCGTCTCCTTGAAACAGAACTTGCTCAAGTCAGCAGCTAGAACATTTTCTGCAAACCGGGCTAAGCAGCGGTCCCCAGTCAGCCAACTCTCTCTCTAGCTCCAGGGCCTCATCCTCTTGTACCTCAATGCTGCCCCAGCCAGGTCCAGACTTTCAAGAACACCAGACACCATGCCTTCGTTGGTTGCAGAGAGGCCCTTCAGAAAATTGGACATCATGACTATATTGGGGTTATATTGGGGTTGTATTGGGGTTATATGGGGTTATATAGGGGTTATATTGGGTAATATTGGGAGAATGGAAAAGAAAATGGAAACTAGCTGCGGGACTGTCAAATTCTCGGGTGGCCTTGCTCGAAGGATGCTGGCACGTCGGCCTTTCACAGAGCACTCGTCTGCAAGCTCATTGTGGTTGCCCGCAAGTCACCCGAATGCGTCCTCACACCCTCTTGTGAGCTATTTGGTAGTTTCCCAAAATACGGGGACCCCAATAAAGACCCTAATATACTATAATCCTTGCTATGGGGACCCCAAAGAAGGTACCCCTAATTTTGGGAAACCCCCATTTGGCCTTTTTTCAGCGAAGACAATGTTGGCGCGTTCCCATCACTCCATCGCCCTCTTATCGCAAGTAGACATCCTATATAACCTTTATAGAACCCATATAATCCCTATATAACACATTATAGTAGTTTCCATGTTCTTTTCCATTATGCCTATATAACCCTGAAATTTGAATCCTAGACCCCAAATCCTCAACCGTACCGCAGTGTCAAGTGAATCTCTCCCCCCTCCTGTGCGCTGGCAGGCAACCAGACCAGCTGCGGCACCTGCATTTGAGCACTGCCAAAATTGGAACATCCCACTGTTCAAAGGGTGAATGGTTTAGGGTTTAGGGTACAGGCTAGGGTACAGGGTTTAAAAGGGTTTAGGATCTAGGGTATAGGGTTGAGGCAGGATTTAGGGTGTAGGGTTTAGTGTACAGGGGTCAGGGTGTAGGGGTTTGGACCATATAAGCCGGACTTGTTTTTCTTTGTAAACCCTGGTTTGAGAGCTCTTGCCAGTCAGGAACAATTAGTGTGAGGCCAGAACAGGACCCCACTTTTGGGGACCCAGACTTTCCCAAAATTAGGCACACCTTTTTGGGGGGCCGCGTAATAAAGAATATAGCATTTTGTTGTCTATATTGGGATGCCTCTATTTTGGGAAAGTACCCCATAGTAGTTTGGTTCAATCGCAATGCGTCTGTATCTCCACATGGAGGAAGGACATTGTGACATTCAAAAACAAAATTCAGAAGCACAGCTCATCATCTGGGTTGTCATTACTACCTTCACGTAGTTATTTTTACAACACACCTGCTTTTGTTTTCAAGGCTATTTCTACAATGAATTGGAATGAGTGTTGGGATTAGAATCGTCCGCGCAAACTTTGCTGATCACCTGTGCTAAAGCCTGTATTGGCCCTGAATCTTCAGCGCTCAAACTCAAACCTGTGCGACATCATATTCAAGCCAGAAGGGTGACTGCTGTCAACTTTCCAATTGCTGTACGTACTGCTGTGGTTCTCACTGAATCTTACTGTCAAATGTCATTGCTCTTGTACTCTCATCCTCAACCTTCTCTGCGCTGCTCGTACAGCTCATATCTGAGTTCCTGTCATGATCGACATAGGAATTCTTTTACTGGTTTAAAACCTGACAGCATTTTTAGCTGGTACCTTATTGTCAGTGTTGCTGTTGAGATTCACACAGCCTACATTACTACCAGTGCTCAATGTTATGATTGCCACTTTTGGCAGTGCCCTTTCAAACCCATTTCCCGTCATATCCTGCCTACAAAAAAAGCCACAAAATCTTGCCGGTGATGCAAAGCATGGAATTGGCGATGCGAGTATCTTGTCTGAACCTTTCAAAAAAATTGATGATCATGCGAAACTGCTGCCTGCTGCAGAGGCCACAAAAATGGGCCTAAGCAGACTACTGGCAATGATGGCAATGCCTGCAAGAAGTTTAGCTTTACCATTCCTCTGAGCATCATGCAGTCCGTGCTGCTCCTGACCACACTGCTCCTGACCACGCTGGCAAACATTCGACCAGCCTGTCAAAAGGGGCCGAGACATCATCGCTACATCTTCCAGCTGCTCAGTGCCAACGGAACTGTCTACGCTAGACTAAGCTGTCTTCGGCAATAAGATTGCGTTGCTTTAAAATCTGGCTACCGTTGCCAAGCCTGTTCAATGCAAACGGCTGCTCAGCTTGTTCGCGACGCATGGGTACACTTAGGGCTTAGGGATCCGACTTCCAAAACGAATCTTCGTTATCCCTACAACAATGTCATCTTTCCTATGCAGCTCAGTGCAGTTTGCATTGTGGGCATGTTACATCTCCGCGCGCATTCAAACCATAAACACTCCACCATAGACATGATATGTATGCTGTATACATATGATATATCACAGATATTACATATTAATATGAACGCCGCAATTGTCCTTCTGAACCCCTAGAAGACCCTTATCATCTGCCTTGGCTTGACGTGGCTCTGTGGAGACCCACAAGACGTGCACAAGGGCCAACAAAACCTTGCAAACCGGTCCATGACAGGCCACTATCCTGACTACCGGACTTAGGGGAATAGAAGTTCCAAGGTTGACCGGTATCTCTCGGATTATGGGCTCCTTCCTGCATCGCTTGCAATGTCCAAAGTGGCGCAAACTATGATGTTCTTTGATGGAGCGAGGGAAAAAGATTGGGGTACGCTTGCGAATCTGCAGTGCTCCCAGAACAGTCCCCTGCGCTTCTGTGCTGCCCCGCGTCCTGCGACTAGAGTCCTGTGCGAGCGCTGATCACGAAGCGTAAAGCCATTATCGCTTTCAGGCAGCACCATCGGTACATTTGGGCAGTCTCTCACCTCTTGAGGGGCACCGCCATGTCATGGCTAGGAAACCCCAACTGTTCTGATGATCCCTATCGTGCGCAACCTCGGGGCGGGAATTTTGTAAAGAGCAGGCACATGCTGCCAGGCCTGAAACGAAGCACCTTACTAGTATTCGCACTATTACTGTCCCTAAAACAAGCGTTTTGTGTTTAACATAATTTTATGGGTTCAAATAGTACTCCTACTATCATTACTACTATTGAAATAAATTTACTAAGATCATTACTGGTACCATACAGGGTGTGTGTGTGTGTGTGCGTGACCCTGATTGAGATATTTGTCAGGCAACTTTGGATTCTACTGGCAACTCGTGCGCTTTGCTTGGGACGACCAAAAAGGGGAATCTGCTGACATTAGGATCTCTGAACATGGTAGACGCCCTCAATGCGTGTACCCACGCAAGGGGCTCACTTTTTCGCCCTAAACCCACAAAACACTGGAAAATCGGTACATTAGCTCCAAATGAGGCTCCCTAATTCACCCAAAGAAAACTGCAATTTCAGAGCCTCCCATCCTGGCTGGCTAACTGGGCAATGCACCAACTGAGGCCGCCGTGGCAGTTGCAGCAGCCAAGGCAGCTGAGCGGCTCCTCCATGGCAATTCAAACAAGAACATAGGGAGAACGCAAATAGTAATCTTTCGTAACAGTTGTACTAACTCTAGTACAACATGGTTTGCAACAAGAAGAACACAAAAGGAGCATCCACAAGAGTAATAATGCTAAAGAGTTGCAAGCAAGCTAACAAGAAGAGACATAGACGGCCAAGTAGTAAGAGGCAACTAATAACACAGCCAACACCGTAGCGAAGTTGGTTCACATCTAATTTCCATCAGCTGTGTTTACGATAATCTGCTCAATACGTGCCCGAGCCGCTAAGCCCTGACAAAGCAATAAACAGAGCCTGAACTTGAAATGCCTTTTTGTCGGTGGGCACGAGCTTGCGTTGCGCTTCAGGTGTCAGCTGACCCGAATCACAGCTTCGCTCATGGCCCTGTTCGAGCCCGTCAGCGGGCAAACTACCCCCTTTGACGGGAGCAAAGGCACCAAAATCAAGACTCTGATGCTGTATGCTTCAGTATCCAACTTGATTTGGTTCTGCTTTCCCAGTGATTCTGGTGCAGTTCAGCACTTGCCTTAGGCAAAGCTAAGCGACTGGACCGCCACCTCGATGTAGCTGCCAGCATTCGGAAAACGATACAAGTTCACATGTCAATCGATTGGCAGCACACGAAGGATGAGCCCCCTAAGTGTCGCAGCAAATTTGTGAAAAGAGTTCGCGCGGCACGATTTGTACGTGAAGCGCCTTTCCTGGAGAGAGACTGTAGCCCATTTCAAAGAGGAGAACCGCTGGACCAAGCAGGCTTTGAAACACGTTAGACTCAGTCAGTTGTTGCTCTTCGGGCTTCCCTCTCATTCCCGGTTGAAACCGTGAGAGACACTCAGCGTTTGCCTAGCCCCTCTCACCCTGGCAACTCGGAATGCACGTCCTCAAAAAGGATGCATGTTCTGGCGCCTGACTACCTGGCCAGAGATCTGCAAAGTCTGGTGGCCAACCCCTTCTTACTGTACAAGTTTCATCTTTCTACCGGTCATAATACAACTTACCTGCAGCGATGAGGACTATTTCTAGTAGCAGCATACACTTTCACAAGTGTGGTCAGGACTTCGCGCAGCTTACACCCTGCCTCATGGGGACAGAAATTGGTTCAGCCTCCACAGCTCGCAAAACGTAACCAGCAGAGAAATGACCAGAGGCTGTGGCCACACTGACTGAGGCATAAGCTGATGGCTTGAAGGGTACTGCCACAGGCTCAGCCTTTCATCATCGAGATTCATATGAAAGCGCTCAGGGCCACAATGCACACAAACCTGTCTGTTTCTGAGATGCTTTGCTTCCAAGCAACTGGAAACATTCGGGGTGCTGAGGGGATGGTCATGCTTGCTGGCACACCGCGAGGATAGAGGGTGCCGGCGCTCGGAGATCCCTCAGACGCTCTACACATCGACATGAACCGAAAAATGTTTCTACTTGATCTGCAACCACAGAATTCTTCATCGCAAACTGCATGCAACACCAATCCCTGCAACCGTGGCTCCATCAGAGTTGCCCCAAGCCGCATCGGTGCGTCCTGCCAGCTCTTTGTGGCATGGCATCACTTGATGTGTTTTCTCTTGGGCTTTAGGCTTTTTGTGGCTCTCTGCTCAGGAGCGGTTTCCCCGGACTCGCCTTCTAGCCTTAACCACCACAGCTCTCCCATCACTTGCACACGTAACTTTACCTGCTTTACCTGTAGAAAACTGGTCTGGGAGAGTGTTGATGGAAGTTCCCGCAAGCTCCTGTCGAGGAAGCTGGGCGGGCTGGTAGCGGACGTTGATGGGGCAGCTTACCTAGCAGATGCGAGGGCGTGTGTGGCAGCTGCTTAATTTTCATATCTAGGCCAGGATGCCATGCGGTTTGGAGGAGGAGACAGTGCCCCCGCGTAGACTGGGATCTGCTTCACTTCTGTCCGTGGCTGCGCCAAAAGGCTTGGCAAAGCTGACAAAGGACCAGGTGGAATCTCGCCCAGGACTGGGTTCGCGCTGGGCGAGTGCTGAGCACTTCCCTCCGGACTGCCTTGGGCTGTGGAGGCGTTCTCCAAATCAACGGGTGGCTCCTTCTCCATTTCCATGCTCTGCAGCTTGAAGTCCATGGTCGACATGTCATCCATCCTGGTTTCGAGCACTTCCTGTGCCTGCTGCAGCAAGTGGACAGCAGTGGTGCATCGCTTGTCTGCATCTGCCAAGTGCTCTCGAAGCTTCTGATTCTCCTCCTTGAGCTGCTCAAGCTCTTCGCGCAGACCAACAGTTCCGGTTTCTTCGTAGTCCTCCTCTGTCTCCATCTCCTCGCCCTCCTCAGTCTCATCTGTCACAGGATTTCCATCCTCGTCCACGGCACGTGGTGCACGAACACGGCGTTGGCGCTGCTGTTGTGGATTCAGCATGGTGTTGTCTGGCGACTGCACAGGGGCAGCGTCTTCCCCAACAGCAACAATGACGCCTTTCTCCAACATGGCCATGGCAAACTGAACGTGGGCTAAGCGTCCACGAGCTTGTCCAACATTTGCCATTTTCTCTCGCAAGACGCCGCCAACTTTGCCATGCTTCTGCCTAATGCGTCCAATGCCTTCTTCCGCCTTCTCGCCATCACGATTCTTCTTCACCGTGGCTTGCTGGGCCTGCTGCTCGGTCCTGTTCAGCTGGCCCGTGAGCTTGTTGACCTGAGAGGCCCTTTAAACAACTCAGCTTATGCTAACTTTCAACAGCACATATGAAGATCTCTCGGGGCGCGGGATGAAATGCCCAACAAGTGCCATTTTGCCGCTGTGTCTCAGATCCCTGACCCTTCCCTACATGACTTCCACATTAGGTTATCAAAGTCAGTATTTAGAGCACCCAAACAAAACCACAATTTACACAGCCCTCTACATGGCTAAGCCATGAAATGCCTGCTCGTTTTGGCTTCCTGACCTCCTGCTCGCTGCGGGTCAGCATACGTTGGGCCGCCTGCAGCTCCCTGGCAAGCATATTGGAGTTTCCCAAAATTGGGGGTACCATTTTGGGGGTCCCCATAATAAGGACTCTAGCTTTCTGGGGTCTATAAGGGATGAGGGCCCAGGGGTTTAAGTTGTTTTTCTCTGCGTCTGGAATGCCTTCTAGCAAGGGGGCCGGTGGAAATGACCAGCCACATCCAAAAAAGGAACCCAAAGAGGCCAACCTGTATTTCAGGCTAAGAACAAGGCTCACCCCGCATGTTGACAAAGCGATAATCGTTCATGAAGAGCAGGTGTAGGGATCAGGAGGATCTATTAAGGAACTTCGCAAAGACCAACAAAGGCTTCGGAGTTAGATGTGGCCTGGCGAGCTTCTTCTTCGCCTCACGAAGCTCCTGCGTGGGCTTCATGTAAACTGCTACTTACTCTTTTTCATTGTGCGAAATGAACATTGATAGCACCGCAACTCCTGGTACAACATGTGACCGGTACTACTATGATGAAGAGTAGGAGATGAAGACTAGGAGTACCATATGGCTACGACTGTGCCTACTACCACTCCCACCCCTACATCTACTCCTACTCCATCTCTACTCTTCCTCCAAACATCCTATGCTTCCACGACGCCCCGATTGCGGTTTGGGCCATGTGGAGGTAGACCACTCAAACAAGCTGTTTCATGTACACTGTTTCTCCTCACAACAAATCCCCTGCTGATTGCAGTATGTTGGGTGCATTTATCGTTAGGCCATGGTATTCTTAGGGGCAGGGGTTCATCCCTCCATCTCCCCAATATTACCCCAGTGTCCATTTGATTTTCAACTTGATTCTCCAGTCTTGTGGTAGACAACTACTCACTGAACCTCAGTAATGTGATAATATGGGAGCTTACATGTTCTTCTCCATTCCCCTACATCCTTTACAGCCCCGAGCACTCCTCACACCTACTACATCTGTGTATATATCTACATATTTATCTTTATTTGTTTGGGTATGTATGAACCCCATTGTCCATTCAATTGTCCGAGTTCTGTTCAATTTGACTTTCCATTGCAGGGGCACTATCCCAAAATAATTCCCACATAACCCCTCTATATCCCGATACGTCTAATCACCTAGTTAATATATAACCCCTTATAACGCTGCCCTATATTCCCCTTTAAGGAGTTTAGACTCATAGGACTCTTTGTTCCCAAAGTTACCCTAAACCCTTAACTCCTAAATAACTGTGTATGACCCCTAAACCCTAAACCCTAAACCCCTAAAATCCTATACCCTAAACCCCAGAGTTGGGTTCCCGGAGGCTCCTGGGCACGCTTCCGCTCTGCCAACTTCTTCTGGCGCTCTTCATCCTTACGGGCGGCCTCCAGCTCCTTCAGGCAGGGAAAAAAATCCCGGTTTTTATGAGGATATAGGGGTTACATAGGTATGATGGAACAAAATGGAAGCTACTATAGTACATTGGGGTTTTCTAGGGATTGATAAGGATGAGACATGCTCTGTCCAGGGTTTTTGAAGGCTTTGTATTTTTTGAATGATACGTGTTCTGTCACGGGGTTTTGGGTTTGGGTTGGGCAGAACAGTGTAGCTCCTTCAGGCGGCCAGCGAGGGCGGGGTCCGCGCCCTGAGGAGAATTCGAACGATGTCCACGGGCAGTGGCAGGCCGCATACTTCAGAGGCTGGAGGTACCTTCACGTGACCCGGTCTGATGCTTCAAATGGCTGCAGAATTCAACGAACAAAACCAGGCATCAGACATTCCCGAGCAAACGAAACAAACAATGCCAAGCACTCACTGCAGCCACTCAGCATCAGCATCCTGCAGGAAGCCAGCGGCCTGAGACCAAAAGTCCAATTCTGGTTTCCAGCACAGCAAAGCAGCTTCCTCATGACAGTGCAAGGAAGAACCTCTTCGTCACCATCACTGCACACAGAAGCTCTGACAGTTTGATAGAAAGAATACCGTGGAGTGCCTTCTGCTGTAACAAGTTATTCCAAATACCAACCCCCCAACAGCTTTGGATAGTCTAAGATGTTCACTTATGACGACGAAAAGGGGTCCGCCGCTGAAGGAAAAACGCCTGAGCCTGATGATTTGTTGAACCGAATTCTAGCTTGGGCCAAAAAAAAACATGAGGAAGCAACTGTTGGCGATCGTATCCACCGCACTGCCGCGGCGAAAACCATGCCACTTTCATCTTCATGCAGCTCGCAAATTACCGATTCGGCCGAACTACCTTGCGGCAGTGAGACAGACTCGATTCAGAGAGGACCTTCGAGTGGCCTGCTCCTGAGACTCTACTCACTGACGCACCTCAAAGCGTGCACCTGCCTCCGCAAATTGCCTTAAGCTGCGTATCTTGCGGCAGTGCCCGCAGCACACGGAGTATCTTCACGCGCAGGGCCAGTCAGCATGAGGACCCTTATCTCCTCGGCCTAGGCAGGGCTGTCTGCAGCATCCAACTTAAGCAAATCCTCTGTTCCAAAGGCAGAAGCATCCTTGGATTCTGCTTGAGGGCTTTGCGCAGACCGGGTGGTGCTGGTGGTCAGCGGCCTGTCAGGCACAGTACCTGGGTCCAAGACACTGTACTTGCTCTTGGGCATAGCATATTGCCCTTAATTTGAATTTGCAGCTCTGGAACAAGGCAGTCCAGCCCTGAAGATGCTCAGGCGCCAACCCTCAAGCACTTCAGGGTAACTTTGGATCATCTCTTCAAAGCCTCGCCAAATTCTGCAACGCATGCAGGACAGCTTAAGCCCTGCTTTGTGGTGGTGAGGGGCTCTCCAGAATCAGACGACATGTCAACCAACAGCACAATGGACCGAGTAAGCCAGCGACCGCCGGTGAGCGCGTGAACGTTCTCCCAGCCCTGGACAGGACAATTATTGCAAATGGCAAGCAATGCACAGCAATGATGATAATGATTACTGATGTATCGCGCATGATTGGAGCTTCGCATGCTAAGCCTTCTCCACAAGTAGCTTGGCAACGCCAATCGTGGCTTGCTCATTCGAGCCATAGACAACCTGCAAAGCCGGGCAAATCCCGGTCTGAGAGATTTTTTGCCAGAGCAGATGACAGATGCTTGCACAGTCCAGCTGAGCCCACTGCTAACAATTTTGCAGGATCGCGCTTGCATCGCAGCAGCTCAGGGATGAACTGATCCTGTAGAAACAAACTTGCCAACACGGAGGAAGACACAAATGTGGCCTGTCAACCCAATATCAAACGACATGCAGGTTGACAGTCCCTGTTGATCTTGGGTGCCGGGTAGGACACCGCAAGCGGGAGATGGCATTGCTCAAACCTGCGGTATAATAGAGATGCATTTTGGATTGCATCTGGGTACGATTACCGGTCTCTGGTGTTTCTGGGCCGCCCTCTCTTAACAAGAGATCTTCCTCATGTCGATTCAGACAGCCAGCTGGGACCTAGAATGCACCGAGGCTCCAGCTCATCTCCTTCTCGTACATCCAGCAGAACAAGGTCCCGTGCCTGACTGGTATTGTGTGCTGTGGGAGACTGGCTTGCTCACAACCTCGCCTCTGAGACAGTCGTGTCCGTCTCAACGACACTGACTACGGACCTTTGATGCATGAACCCTTTGACATGCTTTGCTGAACAAACCCTCGCAGCCCTGCCCCTTTTTCAACTTGGCATCTGTTCTTTTGCATGACTCCCAATTGTAGGAGCTGCTGTGCATGAACACACATGTCACACACCTTGGGTGAGATAGCCTTTGAGTGGCTTGTGACATTTTGCTGTGCAAGATTGCTGTCCGTCTCGGATCTCGCAAGGCTCACACTGGCTCGTTAGCTTTGGCCACCCATCTTGTCTTTGGAGCCTGCAAAAATGGCTTGGACCCTTTGAGGTATCCAGGATACCTGGCAACAGCTGGAAATCCTTGTTTGAATCATTTTGTGGCTCAAAAGATGGGCTGGCCGCCCTCACTTATCTGGTCACCAACAGTCTGCGCTCGCGAGCCTACCAGGGCAAAGTCACAAACACCAGCTTCCCTCAAAGAGCCGTCAAATATGCACAGCCCAGCTTACAGGGGACCAGGCTCTTGACTCCTGACTTCATATGACTTCGTCGGCCATTTACACTGAATAGAATCGCTTGGCACGAGGGCCTGTACAGGCTTGGCAGGTGCAGAGCTCGCGCGGTGACCTCATCAAGTGACTTTGTTTTTGATTTGATCTGGCCCTCTTGCAAGAAATAGAAGCCGAAGATCACCAACCCAACACACCTCTGCCATTGCCTGTCTTGAAATGTAAATCGAATGCGCATAGGGCTCTTGAACCAAAGTGCTCAATGGCTCCAGCTTGCTGACCACAGCCGTCAAGTCATCCGACACGCACTGCAACCTGGGAGTCCGATGCGGTGGTAACTTACGATTAATCAGCCTTGGAGTGATGCAATGCCTGTTTATTGCTTACCTTACAACCAAGGATGCCCTCGCCCTTCAAACATGTTCAAAGGTAATTTGACAAGCTGCGCTGCAAAAATCCCGCAGCAACCTGGCAAGATCATTCATCAGCAACAACTTGGCAACAAGCACCACTTTTTGCGCTCACATCCAAGTCCCGCTAGTTGCGAAGTCTGCTTGAAGCTTTGGCTGCGCCTCGGTCTGGAAGAACGACAAGCTCTGCCACCATCTTGAGGATTTGCAAAAAGTTAAGCCTCAGGTTCAGAAACAACTACTGCCCTCTCCCGGAGACTGCAACTACTACACCGACATGACAATGACCGGCACTGCGGCCTTGAACATGACAATTTGTTCGACAGACACCACCGCTTCGAGTCTTTCTTGCTGCTGCCGTTGCCAATGCGACTGTTCTGTTGGGGTTTGGGCTGCTGCAACTCAATACTCTGGCAACACCGTACAAGAACAGTAACACATGCAACACGCAGTCCCAGTACCCCCACATCCCAGTGTTGCAGTGGCTGCTGTTGCTGCCGCCAGTGGCAGCACTAACACTTGCACCATTTTATGACAACTGCACAATGTGCTAGCAAGGGGCAAGTCCGCGCTTTGTGCAAATACATTATCTTGAAAGATGCTTCCGAAGAAAGCCTCGCTGGCCTGCCAAGCTTTGCAACCTACCACAGGCACAACGAAGGATGAAAGCAAGCCATCAGGTGAGGGTTTCTCAAAATTAGGGTCTCTTTGTATACCAGCAAAAGTTGCTGCAATGTCCATAACAGGGGACCACAGAAGGAACCCATAATTTTTGAGAAATCCTAGATGCAGGGTGCATGTCACACATCAACCAAGTCTGCGACCGATCTGCTTTGGAACTTCCCGTTCCACCCTCCAGTGAGTGGTCCGTTTGATATCACACACTTGCTTCTTGCATCATTATTTCGGCCGAGTCGTGCCACTCTTCCCGCCTGCTTCGTGGCACAGTCGCAGGAAGCCCTTGCGTGACAACTCGTTGCCCGTCGCCGCCGTAAGCTGGAAGAATGCAAAGCTGAACCTTCGACGGCATCAGGTCATCATTCAGAGAAAAACAAGCCTAATCCAGCTAGATTCGCCTTCGCAAAACCCTGCGGCCAGCAGGCGTGTTCCAGCCCATCACCTCTCAAAAAATACACAGAAAGACATGGGACGACCTAACGCTAGACAGACGGCTGCCAGGGTAAGCCCTAGATCTAACAAGCAAACTCAGCGATCTTGACCAGCGACGGATCAACAATCTGCTGAGAGTGGGCAAGCGAGTGAGGTGCTGGAAGCTCTGCCTGCCACATGAGTTCTGGTAGGTAGTCCTGACACGGAGGGTCTCGCAGAGCTGCTTTGGGTCTGCACTGTTTGTGGCAAAAGGGGGTCCTTCATGCTGGAGTCGATGATGTCAACTCTCCAGTGTAGGTCTGAATTCTCCACCTGCAAGAAGGCCCACATGGCTTTGATTGCCAAGTTCTGGCAACAGAATGCCTTCTCCGTGCTGGAACGCACGCGGTGAGCCACCTGGACCGGGAAAGTATCAACAGCAGCAATTCTGATGTTGACAGCCCATGTGGCCTCTTTTTGAAGTAGCAGTTCCAGGACCAAGGCTCCAAGCATAGGTCTGTAGAACACCTTTTCTCTCAGGTCAGGCTGCAAACGCAGAAATCCCAGTCTCGCGCAACAGCCTCCCTTCTCTGTGCCAAGACACTTCACCGTTCCTTTGGGAGCTCTCGGGAATCAAGTGATTGCAGGCTTCAGCGAAGGCTGCGGTATCCTTATCTGCTGTGCTCAGCTTGATGCGAGTGGAGATAGTTAGCAGTCTTGTTGCTCCGACATCCTCAGCCCTGCCTTCAAGTGCAGGCTCACCTCCAAAAGCGTGCTCCGCACTACCACAAGGCTGATGAAGGTGCACCAAGTTTCAGAACCATCTCCATGTTCACCGAGATACGTCCTGCACAAGTGCCATATGAAAGGCTGCTGCGAGGTGAACACAACTGAAAAAGCTTGCACCAACGGTGCTGGCAGAAGTAGTAGATAAGCAGCAGCTGCATTAGTAGCATCCAGGCCCTAATTAGGGCAGCTAGAACTATTCCATTTTACGACTACCATTGGCCCATTGGGAGCCCAAAGGCCAGCCTGCAGAAGTGGCTCCACGCTTGCTGGCTAAACTCCCGCGCAGGGCTGTCAATGTCCTGCATGGCACTGTGGGCAACTCGAAATGGAAGGTACTGGTACTGCGGGGAAGGTAGAGAAGCGTGACCTGCCGTTAGATTCAGGTCTGATTGCGAGTGCTTAACCAAACAACCACTTGAACTTGGTCCACTTCCTTTTTGATGGAACTATCCCAGCCTATGCTGCTGGTGCGCAACATGGAGAAAAGGGATGTGGCAATTGCAAACACCAGATTCCCCCTCCATCATTTTGATGATTCTTTTTGGAGTCTTCTGGTAGTGTCGCACAAGTACTAAGGGCCAGATCGACGTCATGAGAGCCCCATCGTATACCACCTCGCTTCATTCAGACTCCGACATTGGGGATCAAGCATCTACTGATAAGGAATTTCTTCTATCTCAGCCACCATCTCCAAAGCATCTGCTAGTCTTGCACTGTGCATGGTTGCCGGTCGTGGGCACCGGTGGGGTCAGCTCCTGTTCGAAATTTGCACCAGCCGCCTGGTGCGCCAGACATTGCGACAGAAGCCGAAGCTCGTCCCCAGGCTCATAGGGATTTGCCTAAGCAAGTTGAACCACACAGAGACGCCCTTTGCAACGCAAGCACGTGTGGAGGAGCCTCTTCCTCCCTAGTCTCGAAGACGCGCTTCAGCCAGGCCGGAGAAAGTGCCTGACTTTCCACACAAGTTCAGGTCTCAAAATTTGACATCCACCGTCAGAAAGACAAGGCGCCTCCGACCCAGGCAGAGGCCGCAGCGGTGACAACAAATCTGTTGCCCGAGCCCGGCACCTTACGTGAGAGGGCATCAAAAATTAGGCAGCCAAACGACTCCAAACGTCTTCTCCTTTGCCGCCTTGGCACACATCCAAGGTGAGGGCAAAGCCGCCACAAAGCGACAGGCTCTCGGCTCGCTCGACAGAGGCCGCCACGCTCTCCAGGCGCTCGAGAGAAACCTGAAACTGCCAAACCTCCGACAAGTTGTCTGCCACCTCTGCTAGCCGATGTATGACCATCAGTGATCCCAGCCAACAGTGGCAGTGCTGCGGGACATCTTCAGCCGAAGGTGGCAGGGGAGAATTCAAGGGCTGAGGCTCCACGAGTTCGGCCGTGACGCCACTTCCGAGAGACTCGTGCACAATGAACCATTGAGGCTTCTGCCGCAGTGCCTTGGCAATCTTGGCTACAAACCGTTGCTTGGAGCTCTCCAGCTCTGCATCAGCGAGTTTCAGGATGCTGCTCCAGCGCACTTTGGTTGCAGTAGGTAGCACATCCAAGAGGACTTCCAAGGATACTGAGTCAAGAGATTCTGCCGCATCCTCATCTGGTGCCTCAGAGCCCAAGCTGTTCCTACGAGCGTCGAGGAAGTTTGAGTGGGCTGTGGAGTGCCGAGCTCTCTCCTGGCCCACCGACTGTCTCCTGCCCTTCGCGTTCGGCCGCCCTTTGCTCGCGGTTCGGCCTCCTTTGGCCTTGCCGCTAGCCTGTCGGATTGCTTCCACGATGCTGTCGGTCATGTGCTCTACGCTTGCTCGTCGAGCCGCCATCGACTCGATCGCCAGCACAGCCGGAAGGCTTGCGAGCTTGCTGGCACGCCTTTGCACTGTAGGCAATTGCGTGCTGCGTGTTGGCCTATTGCTCCTGATCTCACCGGCCATTGCAAGAGCAAACTCATCTGCAATGTTCTTTTCATCATTGTCAGTGAACATGGGTAATACACGCAACAAGATTGCCAGATCGGATGCCATGACCTGCCGTCGGGCGCTCAAAAGCTGAGCTTCTTGGGCTTTACTGATGACTTCCCTGTATTCCTTCTGCTCAAGCATAAGGGCAAGGTAGTCGGGCATGTGCTGCAGAAACTCCCACCTGGTCCATGCCTCTTGTTGCGAATCGTTGCCCTTGAATATGCGAGCGGGCCGTGGGCTGGTGTCACCAACAAGTCGTCGTCGTGGTGAGTCAGCAGACACTGGTTCATGCACAGACACATCTTCCAGTGCCCAGTCATTGTGGCCATCCTCCTCGGGGCTATCCAGGAGAACGTGCTTTTCCATGAATCTCTGAAAATTTCGTGCCCATCGCGAGCAGAGAGGATGCGCCTTGATGTCGGGGCGTTTCTCTGTTGCTAACAGTACTGGCCACAACTTTGATGGAGATGCTGGGGATCTTGGGGATACCGGGGGGATGTCGGCGTATATCTCCTCCGAAAAATCTGTGATGGCCGTCGATGGTTGCAGCAGCGGTTCATCTTCACGCATCCTGGGATTTTCGCGGGCTCTGGAGGCTTGGGAAGTGCGGGGCCGTGCGCGCGCACGCATTCCATCCTTGTAGTCAAAGTGGTGCACATGCTTGGAGAGCGCGTGTTTCAGGACCTCCCGCTCAAACTGCAGTTCGGCAAACATGGCCAGCTACTCCAGGCGCAATGGTTACCATTGCGTTGTACTTGCACAGCTTCGTTATTCCCGGCATGCAAAGTGCGCCAAAAAAGTGTATGCCATTTTGAGCTAGCCACATCTGATGAAGGGTGATGCTTTTTATGTCATGCCTTTGTTCTGGCAATATGGGCTTGCAACTGATGCCAGCGGCGTGGAGTACTTCCCTCCCCTAAGATGAAACGCTGGAACGTTCTGTAACATTCACACTAAAACCATTTTCGCCCTGTCTCCCGGACGATGCATAGTTGGGGTGGGTCCAAAGCCTGCAAGAGGCACCTCTTCAGCGTTTAACCATCAGCATGAGGGGAATTCAAACTGTTGCACTGCTGGATGTTTCGCACCGCATAACAGAAATCTGACATGCCCCGTGTTTCGGAAAAGTTCAGGTTCCAGATTCCCTAAGCCCTAATTTCCAAGGCGCAAGGCATGTACGGGCCATGCTGAAAGCAACCAACCAACCAACCAACCAACCAAGCAACCAACCAACCAACCAACCAAGCAACCAACCAACCAACCAACCAACCCGCTACTATTGAGCATCTGCCATCTTCATAAAAGTTTCTCAAAACTATCCTTCATAACGCCGTAATCAGAACCATAAATCCAAGAAACTCCCCAAATATTCCTGGGATCCCTGAGGCCGCTTCCCTTACTTTTAAAAGCTGAGCTACTAAACCGGGGGGTTTAGTACAGGATGTCATAACCGATGCTCAAAGCCAAGAAATAACTTCTCACCAATCGCAGCTGACACGCAGCTACATGCTTCAAGCATTGCATGCGGACACAAGGACTCGGACCCTGCCACAGAACTCACCGATGCCACGCTAAGCGGCGGAGCCGCTGGTCCAGCCTGTGCAAGGAGATGCACCCTCCTTTCCATATAGGAGTTATACAGGGGTTATATAAGGATAATGGAAAAGAAAATGGAAGCTACTATTTGGGGATTAGGGTCAATATTCTTTTCCTTTCTGCCCCCTCCTTGGAAGCCAGGACAGAGGATGCGCTGGCACGGTCGCCATGCTCAGAGCCGGGACCTTGCAGAGCCCAAAATGCATCACATGGTGAGCCGTCATGATTTTGGAAGTCCCCAGCCAAGGGCGTAAACGGACTCCGAGACCTGCAGAGGAAAGAAAGCTGGAAGACAATGAACCCCCGATCAGACCAGGACCCTAGCTGTTGCTCAGCGGCGAAATCTTGACACCAAATCCCAATAGACTTAGTAGTTTCCATCATCCCAATATAACCCCAATATACCGTAGTAGCTTCCATTTTCTTTTATACTATAGACTACAGTAGGTTCCATCTTCTCTTTCATTCTACCACTATTAGCCATGGCTCCCCAAACTGAAGTACCCGAAACGGTTAAAAGGAAAAGAGCTCAGCAGAACCGGTCAGCTGGTGCCTCTCTGTCCTGCAGCATGCGCACCAGCGTGCCGGCGCGGATGCGCTTGAAGATCTGACGGGAGGTATAGTCCCCCTTAAATAGATAGAGAATATGGCTTCGGGTATATTATAATCTATAGTAGATTCCCTATATACCCCATATTCTATCTACATAAGGGGGACTATAAGCAGTGAAATGTCCTTGCGAGCTTTCCAGGCAGCCAACCTCATCCTTGCGTTTGGCCATGACGTTTGCAGAGTGGAGCTGAGCAGGGACTGTATCAATTCCGTCTAACTGGAGAGCATATGAAGTGGGGGCCTTCTCCTTCTTGGCTGAAGCTCCAGTATCGATAGAGGAGGCAATGTGGGCATACCTCGCCAGTTTTGTCCACATTTTGTGTGCTCTGGGAAGGCTTCCAAAAGTGACAGGGCACTTTTTGCTCTCAGGCACCTGCCACACTTCTGACAAAGAGGAGTCTCCATGTTCGTGTCTTGATGAGGTTGCCAATGATGCAACATGCAAGACTCATCGGAGGGCCTTCTTCTCCAAACTTGGAAATGATGACTTCATGGCCACCAAACAGCCGAAAGAAGCTTTTGGAACGCGTCCTTTTCTGCATCAGTCATGGGTGGAAAACGAATGTTGCACCCTAGAGACTCAAGAACAGCGTGTCGTGTGCGAATCTCATGGCCAGGCTAACACCACAAGACAGCATGGAGGCAAGACAGCAAGAGGCCTGCTGTCTTGGGCTAGTGAGGCAGCAGCATCGGATTTGCCAGGTTTTTTCGCAGCTCGTATTGATGGTGGCCAACTTGAGGGCATTCTTGCCGTCCTTTCTACTTTCCTTTGATGTATTGCTGCTATTGCTACCATCCTTACTGCTACCATCACCTCCAGAACAACCACATACAACCACCATTACCAATATAGGTACAAGAGTACTATGGTGACATCCTTCTCGGACATTCTTAGCTCAAGACCATCAAGGCATCAAGAGCAACATGAACGCAGTTCGGTCATTTTCCCGCTTGCATGTACAGTTTTTGATGCTTCCAGCAGCCAGCTGTTGGCTAAAGAGAACTAGTGATTCTACTGCTTGGTCTGCTTCACTTTATATTGGGGTTATATAGGAATAATGGAAAAGAAAATGGAAGCTACTGTATAGTAACTATAGCATAGTCTTGTTCTAGAACTTTCAAATACTTGCTCTCTGGTCTGGTTACGCATCTACCAGGTAGAGTCTACCGTCCACGACTCGGCGCAGGAGTGCCGCAGAGGATGCAGACCTGAGTCGGGGGTTTCCTAAAATACCATCATCCTCATCAATCGCATAGGGGTTATATTCAGGAGCTATAAAGGCATAAGAATCGAGAATAATGGAAGCTTGTCATGCACACCAGCAATTTGAGGACGCGACACGTAGTATCACGTTCCCAGGACTCTCAGGCCCGCACCGAAAGACCCAGCCGAGACACCACGGTAGAACCGCAGTTCTCACAGGTAGGTGACGTCCGCCTGCTATTGCCGTTCTATGGTGATATATCTGCTTCTCCAGTCACCATCATGTGTCAACACACATACACAAAGTGAAATGTAGGTTACAAGCAGGATGCAGAGCTTCTCTTGCCTCGGCCTATCATCACCTGGCAAGAAGAGGCCAACACAAAGGCAAGTGAGTTATAATCTAAACTCCTTAAAGGGGGTTTATATAAGGGGTATATAGGGGACTACTTTAGGGGTTACTATGCGGGATACTAGGAGTTTAGACTATAATCCCCCATAATCCCCTATATAATCCCAGTTTCCATTTCATTTTCCATTTTCTTTTCCATTTGATTCTCCATTAAGGGGGATACTAGGAGTCTAGATTATAAGGAGTTTAGGCCAATATAATGAGGTGAGCGCATCGCTTCTTAAGCAGGGCGGCTCCACTGTCATCATCCTCAGAACACATGGCGGGTTCCACGGGCATTGAGGATTGGGATTATATTGGGGATATATGGGGATAATGGAAAAGAAACTAGAAACTACTATTTAGGGTTTAGGGTCTATATAGATGTTTGTAGGGTTTCCCAACATTAGGGGTACCTTTTTGGCAGTCCCCAGAAACATGATTGTAATAGATTGGGGTCTAGATTGGAGTTCCCCCGATTTCTGGGAATCTACCACATCAGTTGAAATCAAACGAGGTTGGAGGAGGGGCATCTATCCAACCCGCCTCTGGCTCCTCGTGGCCGCCGGTTATCCGTACATTCAGCGCCTGGTACAGTTGCAAGCTGCTACGAGGTGCCAAACTCACACAGCCCCACACCTGAGGTTTTCCCTGGCTGGTCAAGGACATGTCAAACCTGCAGGGACACACATCAAAAGTTGGTACCATAAATGTTAATAATAACAATAAAGGTGCTAAAAACAATACTGATAATAGTAATACTAACAATAGTGCTAATAGTAGTTTCCTGGGGCTGAGGCATAACCCTGACAGGGCCCTCAGCGACTCTGGGGGCCTGCAGCTCCGGTTGCAGAGCACTACAAACCTAAATTAGCCACAAACACTGAGTGACGAACGACATGTTTATCCTGGCCAGGCACTTTGTGACAGCCACTGTGACTGCTCAGCAGACAGGCCTTCGTTTGCATTTTGTGGCCTGGGAAGCATACCCCAAGCAATGCACACCCACAGCTAGCGCAGTCATTCCACTTGGAAGGCAAGGTCCGAACCTATCCAGTAATTGGGTGGCTTGCCCCTGACATGTTCGAAGCAACTTCTAAAGCGCCTCTGCACTTGCAGGTCTGGAAAGAACCCACTCCAATGACACTGATGATTTTGAAGCGTGCCGGTTTGGCACGAAATGCTTGGCGTGCCTTAGACACAAGCAGCATTTCAGACATAGCAATAGGCGGGAAAAGGTCCTCAGAAGCCATCCAAGGCCAATATGCATCGCATAGACTGTTTGTTCTAAATAGTTCTCTCCCTGCAGCTGAAGCGCAGGAAAATGTCCTTGCCACCAGTATCGCCATCTATGAAACCCCAACCTTCCAGCTGCTGTGCTTAGGAAGAAACAACTTTAAAGACTGGTCATGATCCGCAAGCAGGAAGGTGGCTTGGGTCGTGGTGGCCTTTGTCTGCATTGAACATTCTGATTGTTCCGACCTCGGCCCAGAAGAATGCCATACAATTCTTCCATCTGGGGTCTAAGTGGAGGCGAGAGACAAGGTCGAACTGCTTGTCACTATCGCCGCCTGTCTCGAATTCAGCACCATTCGGAACAGTCGTCTGCAAAACTGCACATCAGACCGAGCCTTTCCGCCTCCTGCATCAAAATTGAAGCTGATCCCGTCAGTCTATCTAAGCCGCACAGACGACATGGTCCTCTTGTTTCCTTTGCCCCCGCTCCCAGCATTCTCTTCTGGCTGGCCTGCACGGCTCCAGTGTCACACATCATATCCCTTTTCGTAAGCTCTACGTCTACTGGTCTTGGGACAGCGCTTGCGGCTACAGGCTCGCTGTTTGCAGTGTCTGCAGTCTCTGCAGCATCTGCAACCTTCGGGCTTCCACGAGACTTCACTGCAAACAACTCTTCTTCTAATGGCCACCGGCTTCCTGCCAATTGCGTGCAGCGTTTAGACAAGCCGGCTAGTTCAAACCTTCCGACCATCATTTGCTGAGGGCCGGTCTTCCCATCCCGACTTACAAGCCTCCTGCAGCCCTGAGCCAGCACATTCCTGGGGCCAAGGCCTCTGCCATGCCAGAATGCTGTTTTCAGCTGGGACACCCAGGACAGCAAGGTAGAAGGCACATGGGCCTGGGTAGTTGGAACACTCTTGCAACTTGCGAGAAAACCAGATCCTGTTGGCACCATGCCTCTTGCACCGCGCCCTGCGGCCGCTGTCAGAGGACGTGCCTCTTCTAAACCTTCAAGCCGTGATTTCCCAAATGGCTGCAGTCGGAGCACAGCAGTCACGACAATCGGGCGTGATGGTAACAAAAAACAACGGCCAGAGGGGGAGGGACATGAAAGCTCACACAACCACCTACGTCCCTGAGTAATTTGGTCCTGGCGCTGGATCCCTGACCGTCTGCACATCTGTCGGCTTCGCACGCTTCATCGAACAAGCGTGCGGGAAAAGGGCAAGGTTGGGGCACTGATTTTGCGTGCAAAGCCGTCTACTGCAATCCCTACCTCAAGCTGTGACACTTCGCAGCACCATTTCCGCCAATTGGGCACACCACAAGCATCGAAGAACAAAAGCCTCAGAAGCCAAAATTGGCGCTCACACCCAAGTTGGCAGGTCCAACACCTGCCACCGCAGCGCTGAGAACAAGTTCTGGTTACTGGTACACACGCATTAAGCTTCAGCTTCTTTTCCCTTGCCTCTGGCTCTAACTAGTATGGTACTGTTGCCCTCGTAGGACCTTGCACTGCTTGTTCATCTACAGCTTTTTTACATCAACTCCTGAAGTAAAATGTGCTGAGCCTTTCCCTGGCAACGGCTGGCAACGGCTTTGGTGAAGCTCAAACTCTGCAATCTTTGTAATTGCTTTCATGTAGTGAGAGGCGCCCCGCAACAACGGCCCTCCCTCGGTTCGGCTTAGGAGAAACCAGACTTGCAATGTTGCGGGAGATTGGGCACTTCAGATGAATGGCGCCTCGTACGAATCCAGCTTCTGCAGTCACTGGGTCCCTGCGAAACGAATGTGCAAAGTCCACTTTCCTGTCCGTCTTAGATAGAGCAGACATCCGGCCTGTCGGGAGACAGGTTCAGCTCGATGCTTGCACGACCCTGCTGAAATCGACCGATCATTGTCACGGGCGTCCCGGGAATCCTTCCGCACGTTGGATCAGGATTGAAGGCTTCTTTGGTGCATCAAAGGCAATTTGTTCATCAGTCCTATAAGAGCTCGATAAAAACCATGGCTGGCCAGCGCCTCAGAAGCCCGCAGAGCATGGTCTAGGCTAAACGAGAAGGGCAGGGCAACCCTCCTCACTCAAGTTAACTCTCTTGAAGGGGCTTGTCAGGGAAAACCAGCCGTGCGCAAGAGGTAAGGCGGTGACGCATGTGCTGCAGGCGCATCTGCAGATTCTCCATCTGACTCTGGAGCCTCCAGCACTGAAAACTGCTGCAATGGCTGAGGCAGAAGTTGCGAGATGTTGTGCGCGTCTTCAGCCATCCCTCGATGTTGTGCGCGTCTTCAGCCATCCCTCCCTCGGCCTGCTGATGATCTCAACCGTAGATTGCTGAGATCTCACCTCAGCCACGTAGTGTGTGCCTTTCCGGCTGGACCACGCCCGCGACGCTCAGCCGCTAGGCAACTGGCAGCTTGCTCCTGCTCATCTCTAAGAGCCTCGGCTGACAGGAATAACTAACCAGGCGCAAAAACAAACGGAAAATGGAAGGCTTGCTCTTGGGAGTGGGCAGCGTCTCGCCTAAAACTGCCCTCGAGGACGGCTCTGAGAGCATAGCGGTCCTGCTCCATTGCGGTGTATCCTGTAGAAAGCTGTGAGACACATCCTGCCTCGCGGTAGCTCCACGAACTGCCTGGTCTCTTAAGCTCCTCGGCCTTTCAGCGTTGAGCACGGCTTGCCAAACAGTGCCAGCACCTCAGTACCTCAGCTGGCCTGCGAGACAAACTGCTGATCCGCTTGTGACACTGCCTCCGCAGGTCCTCAGAAAGCAAGGACACTGCCTGAGCACTCAGCTCACAAGATCCTGCGAGAAAGGCGACCTTCTCAGCCCACGACGGGAAGCCTTCAGGAACTTGGTCGCAGTTTGCTGCCGTAACAGCGCCTGAGATCACGTCTTGCTTCATCTTTGTTGACTCAGAACAACTCGTCCAAGGGCCCAGGCAAGCTGCTGCAAGAAAAGGCTCTCCAACATGGCCTGGGGTCCGGAACCCAGCTGCAAGGCAGGCTGCAAAACTCAAGCTAACAAGCGTCAGCAAGCGAATCAAGATGCACTACGACACGGCATCGAGTCCAAAACGGACAATCACACTTGTTTCAGATCCTATCTGCAGGCATGAGTGCTCTGAACATGATAGATTCACTGATTGGGTCGGAACGTATTAAATAAGTTAAAAGAGTTGTGGAGAACCTGGCGAGCTTGGCTATATACATTCTATAGGCCTTGCAATCTGGAAGCGCCATTCAAATCGGATGCCGTGCCAGATGGATGTAAGGCCACATCCTACGCCGGTGCCAGGGACTTGCCCTTCATGTAGGCACCACTTTCAATGTCCGGATGTGGCTGATGCTGGAACTGCACAAACTGCTTTTCAAGGCTCCCTCCCTGGTTGGTAAGAACTGCAACAGCCGCCAGGTTGCCAGCTCGGTCAATGTAATTTGGGGCGCTGAAAACAGTCACAACGTTCGGGATAGTCTCCTGGTATCCTGCAGACTTCGTTTCATGAGATCGAAGCATATACTTGAGGTTATTGGCTGCCAGGAATCGCTGAGCTACATCTGGGCCAAAGGTGTAGACCATCGGGACACGGGTGGAGGGGCCATAGCCGTTGGCACCCTTTGGATCTGACCAAAGGAAGTCAATAACCAGGGGGAACTCCATGGGATTTGGCTCGCAGACGCGGTTTGTGGCTTCGATCTCCGCCAGCGTGATCTGGCGATCGCGCTTCAGAACGCCAGCGGCCTCGACACAAACCCTCAAATGGATGGAAAAAGATATCAGTGTCTACTGCTAGCTCTTCTTTCCACCAACAGCCTTGCGCTGTGGAACACAACAGCTCTGCAAACACGTGTATTTCTCTCAGGGAGAGAAAGGGCCCCCTGGTGCACATATTAAGGGATTGGCATCACGAGGAGGATTTGGGGGAACCTCAGCCTGACAAAACTCAGAACTTGGACATGTGAAAAACAGGGGTACAAAAAGTCATCATATCAAATGTGCGTGTTTGCTGTTGTGTTGGTGCTTGAGCCAGGGTTCTCTATTCATGCAATGGCGAACACCGCCCTCTGTCATTCATAGGTTTGGCAGGAAGGTGTGGAGGGCTCACAGCACACAGTGCGGGCTTAGTAAGGCTTATGGATAAGCAGCTCTCACACAATGGGCTTGCTGGATGCAACTCCACTCGCTTGACCAAAGATGGGGTGGTACCATGGCTAGGCGCTGGAGGCACTAGACAAGACAGCACGAGATATGAAAGAAGGCTGAGGCTGCTAACCAGCTAATTTGGAGGCAAGTACAGGGCTCCAAGCAAACACAAGGTAGTCAAGAATCACATGCATAAGGCGACAGAGTTGATGCGGTGCATTTCTGAAGCCAAATTCATGTCCATGGTGAGTCCTTTGTACCTGTGCACTCACCCCTTTCTTGACCTCTGCTGGCACGGCACGTTGGCTCTGCATGCTGGAGGTCTGAACTGGGCCTATGACCCCAGTTTCTTCAACGGAAGTCCCCATGAATCCATATGAATCCCTCTAATGGCTCCATCTAGAGCCCTTCATTTTCTAAACCCTAAACCCCAAATTCTAAACCCTACACCCTAAACAGTAGACCCTAAGCCCTAAACCCTAAACCCAAAACACTAAGGCATGCAAAACCCTGCGCCTCGTCGGGAGCCTTCTGCATCCAGTCTTCCCAAAGCCGCTCTTCGGGACCTGGAAGGCCAGCGTGAGCCTGAGTCAGCTTCAAGGTAGACACCTTACAAATAAATCACTAAGCTTTCTTCCAATTGCTGAGTTGAGGGTTTAGGGATACCAGCCCCAACGGCGGAGAATCAAATACAGGTGTTATATGGAGGTTATGCAGGGGTTGTGTAAGGATGATATAGGGATGATATAGGGGTTATAGGGGTGATATTGGGGTTATATAGGGTTAGGGTTTAGGGTTATACAGGGGCATATGGGGCTTAGGGATATTATATGATATCAATATCTAAGATCTATCATGTTTTCTGAGAAGCTGCACGTTTTTGCTTATCTAGGTCAGCTTTGCAGGTAAGATCTCAATGTCTGGATTCCCCAAAGGACACCCGATGGACATACATATATGTATGTATATACGCATACCAGAACTCCTATGAAACTTCCTGCAAATTCACCAACACCATCATCAGCATGCTACCGACTATCAACTCGTTAACTTACGTGTTCATAAGCCCAACAGCGATGGACAAAAAAGAGTTGAGCAGGAAAGCCCCTTTCCTCATTTCAGGGCAGCATGCTGCGTGGTGGAGAAGTCATTAGCTAACAACTTCCAGAATCAGCCCCAGCTGCCACAAAGACCTGGTTCTCCAAGACGGTGGCCAACGGCAGGTATCTGAAGGTCTCGCTGAAAAGCTCCATGAGCTTCTTCTCATACTTCACCTGCGCCGGTCACAGAAGTAGAAGTGTTGATGACAGGCACAAGGAAAAGGGAGTTCACCAAGTTGGGGGGGCCCAAACTTCACTTCTTTGGGGCCCCTTTGTTCTTGGAAACTGCCCCAGCACCTGCACCTCGCCTGCAAAGCCATATTGATAGTTGGTCATCTCAGACTCGTGGTTGCCACGGTTGAAGTGGACTGCTGTGGGATTCTGGAGCTTGAAGGCATAGAGGCAAAGAAGAACCTCAACAGACCAAGGTCCCCTGTCCACGAAGTCACCATTGAACAGGATGGGATTTTGCGGGCTGGGTTTGCCAGTGACTTCCTGAATCATATGAACAAAGTCAAAGTACTGACCATGCAGGTCACCAACCACTGTAATTTTGGAGCCTGGCGGAACTGCCACCCTTTGAAGGCTCTTCTCCTGCTTCAGGAGATCCAAGACATCCAAAGCCATCATGTAGGCATACTTCATTGGCAACTTGCCCTGTTGCTTGTACAGGCCAAGCAAATGATCAATAAAGGCATCGTTCACCGAGGCTGGTCCCTGGTATGGCGGACCCGTGTAGTCTGGGGGCACGGGCAAGCTCTGCGCATAAGCCCTGAGGTCCTCTCCGCCTCTGGCCATGCGCGGCACACGGCTCACAGTGCGCACTTGGTTGTGAGAAGAGCTTCCAGCCCGGCTTCCCGTCAGCCTGGGTGCCACCCAGGCCAAATGCAAGCACGCCCAAAGCCCGAAGGCCAGGACGGCAACCGCAGCGCTGCTGCGGCGCATCTTCTATGCCGTGCCGTAGGGCTATATCACAATGGCACCGCTCCAGTACACAAATGTCTGCACTGGAGCCAATGGCAAAAGGCATAGAACGCAGCTCAAACCAACAAAGGTCGAAGAGGTTGCAGGACACCTGCCATGCAACTCATGCAGGCTGGGGTCTTGACGTCAACAGCTATTCCGATTTCTGCGCCACCAGAGCCAGCCTGCCCAAGACATATTCCCTTCACAAGGAAAGCCACTTAGCCAGAGATCATGCCTGCTTGACGGCAGCATCCAAGACCTCGTTCAACCAGAGAGCTCAACAAAACTCAACGGGACACCCTGACACTGCCATGCTCAGCTGCACGCTGACTGGGCTCGCTCACCAAATTTAGGCACGACGTGACCAGCCGCCTCAGCTTCAGGGGCAGCCGCATTCATGTTGCTTTGCGTTGCTTTGCATAAGAAGGTCCGCCCCATGAGCTGCAGGCCACTTGTTCTCGGATTGGCTGCAGGCTTGCTTCAACGGAGCCTCAGTCACCCTCGCTCTCTTTTGCAGCTGAGGACTTGCCGTGCCCACTGGGCATTCTATGTGAAGTCCATTTGACATGGAGGTGTTGGAAGCGATCAGCTGCACTGGGCTGCTGGCCCATAAGGTCAGAAACTGAGCTGGGCCCGCTTGGCGGTGCTTCCTGAACCGCATGTCCCAGGAGTTTCTGTTGATCTGCCACACAAACAAGCACGACCAAGCCCGCTCTGCCACACAGCTGCCTTCTCCTGTGTTGCGTCTGCAGACACCAAGGCCAAGCCTCTCGCAGCCAGCCTGCAGGAGCAAAAGACTTTTGCACGAGTCGCTGGCATGACCCAGCCGGCACCCCGGCACCTGGTGCAAGACAAGAAGTTCAATGCCTTGGTCCAGAGGACATCCCGCTCGACACCCCACACGGCGGTGGGTTTCGAAGGCAAGGCTTACTCAAGATCCACATGCCTTCGCAGGTGTTTTGACAGTGTCTGAGGCAATGACACTGACAGCTGCAGCTGCCTGCAAGAGCAAGGTGTGGGACCCTTGAAACAAGATTGGCCCTTCCAGGCATGCCAGTTTTACACTCAGTCGGCAGTCATGACTATCGGGTCCGGAGAACAATGGGAATCCAGCCCTGGGAGCGACCTTTCAGCTTTCTACACAAAGTCTTCACAATCTTCTACTGAGATGAAGACTACGTATCTGAATTAGCCAACGCCTTTCCACCGTCAGGCTGTCCCAGCCATTTCCAATTACGGGAGCAACTTCGCAGAAGCCGCGGCCCGCTTTGAAGTTTCCACCAAGTGCCCATGCCATCTCTGCACGCGTCTCTTCCAAATGCTGAGTGCAGCCGTCCGCCAACTTGAACCAATTGTCGTTCGCTTGATCTCGGGCATGTTTGTGCCAACGCATCCTCGTCTTAAGGCCTGCTTGCAGGAATGGAACTACTGTTCTGATTTGGAAAATTGTGCAATGTCTCCAACACGGCAAGGTAAAATGCTGGGAAGACATGCATTTCTTCAATGCCTTGGCATGAAGCTTCGCTGGCGCCTGTTGGATCAACAGCAAAGTCTCAAGTCAACCACCAGCTTGAGATGTCTCGCACTCATCGTTTGGAGTTCTGCATCCTGTCTCCACCGCGTTCTGCACGGACCATTTGCATCTGTCATGGCGAATGCAAGGAGGCTCTTTGATGGGGCAGGATTTGGGCTTGAGCCTGAAGGACTGCGCACTTTGTCGTGTCGACAAATATGAGTGCTGAGCCAGTGAAGACGAGGTGCGAAAAGCAGCCATCTGTCCAGACGGCGTCTCTTCCGGTCCATGTTCGCGAGAACGCCTCCCAGAACGGAATAGATTTTGAAACTTAAGCCACTGTGCTGGCTGCTGCTCACTCAGTAAACTTCTGAGCACGGCGCGGACCACAGAGTCAAGCGAGGCCCAACTGAACAGGGCCTATAAGCAAAACCTTCAGAGCCAAGGCAACACCAGGTTCCAGCTGCAAGGGCCACAAACCTGACTGCTGGGTACCTCTTCTGAGGCCTGCATACTGACACGTTGCAAGGGGCGGTCATGCAAATATGAGCGGCCGCAACACGCAACGCTGCAACTTGTTTTCGTCCTGAGGTGCGCTAGCTGCAAGCAGTTCACTCTGCCTGACAGAAAGGAACGTGACATAACAAGCCCTGCACTGATCGGACACGTTGTGCTACACAGGCTTCTGATCGCATGCCTGCGGCATGATATGCAGGACAACGACGCTGACGTTGTCCTGCTGCAGGGAGTAGCTGCAACTCGTCAGGGCGTGGCAGCAGAGGGGAGGGACGTGGAGGGACGGGGAGGAGAGTGCGGGAGGAGTGAGGAAACCAGCCTGCGCCTTCTTCTCTTCAATAACGTGCTGCACCAACTCCTGCCACAAGGATCAGAGAAGGACTGCAGCTGTACTGTTACGGCTGGTCCTTGCAGACACCTCGAATGTCGATGGAATCTGCTTCGAGCTCAGCACGACCTGGGTCCAAACTGCAACAGCATGTCAACATCTGTAGACATTCAGAGCTTCCCACCCTCCTCGTTGGCCACAAGGCTGTGCGTGTATTCAAGTGCTTCTGCGGCTGTCCATGCATTCCAAAAACCTGACATTCCAAGCAATTGAACACAATGCCTGCAGGACCACCAGCAGTGCAACGTGTCAGAGAGGCCATCGCAGGCCAGAATGACAAAGCGATCCTTGCATGGAGACTCTCTGAAATTAAAATGATAGCCAGATTGGAAACCGCAAAACGGCCGTACCAGTATGTGCCAGTCCTTCTCCCTGTCCATCTGGAACTTCATGTACTCCGGCCTGCTAGAGATTTCAAAGTGAAACGTTCAAGAAGCCTTGTTCCGGCCCCCTGGCAAACTGTGACATCCCTGTTCCTTTGATAAGACCGCCACGTGCACAGCACTCCGAACTTCTTCAGTGTCAAATCACCGAAGGCACGAGAAACCTCCGGAAGGCAGGTCTGGGACCTTGACAATCTTGACAACAACCATCACAATCTAAGCTCCTCGAGGATCCCGTTGATGCGGCCGTTCTCCACAGCCCCACCCGACCTGGGCTCATTGGCCAGAGTTGAAGAAGACCCTTTTGCAGAGCGTAGATGCGCCCAACCTCAGGATACGCTCCTTCTCCTTCATCATCCAGCACCTCGGGTCCAAGACCCCAGAGCACAACAAGTCTACAGTAGGTGCAGTTCTACACATGCAGTTCAAGTTCAAGGCTAGTGCACCAGTGAATTCCAGACACAAAAGCGCTCGTCTGAATTGCAGAAAAAGCACTTGTGCTGCCTCTGCTGCAAGGGAATGCAAAGTGTGTCCTGACATTTGCACAGCAGCCTGCGGGAACATGAACAGTGGCAGAGGATGAACACGCTAGTCGGTTTGTCAGCTTAACCTTCTCGAAGTCCTCTTGGTCATCGACATCCTTTCGACGACAAAGGTAAGCCATACCTGATTGGTGCTCAAGTCCCACGCAAGGCCGCTTCCACACACTGCCATACCCGTAGCAGCTTGGTGGGCTGTCTGTGCCAAGGTGCTATCGCCAAGGTTAATGGAGATCATTTTCTCCGCGTTTGCTAACACCTGGGCAGCTCATTCAAGATTTAAAGTCAAAGCACAAATCCGAAATATACATGGAAGTTTCCAAAAAAGAAGGGTCCCTTTCGGGTCCCATTAAATGAGGGGCCCCATGTTTAGAAATACTCAACACGTCTTGGAGAACGACCACGTTCGCAGTGCAACCATCGTAAGCACCTCTCCAGGATTCAATGCCAACTGTTCGTCCTGTCAATGCTACGCCTGTCTGAAACAAGGCTGCCGGCGACACCTGCAAGTTCCGTTGCGATCCGCGAGTCCATTCGTTGGAACACCGCCTGCATTGTGACAACCCTCTGCCATGGCCATGAAGGCACTGCTGTCCAAGCCGTGCCTCCGTGACCTTCATGAGCCTCTTGTCCGCAATCGGACCTTAAAACCAGCTGCACCCCGCTAGAGCTGATCAGATTAGGGTCGAGCTCCACTGAGCAGCAACCCTGCTTGGGCTCGTCATTGGCATAAGCACTCGCTAGCCTGAAGTCCCGTGCACAGCTGACAAATGGATCAACACGTTAGACAAGATACTCAGGCCAGAGCTCAGGAGCCAAGTAGGTTCTAACAAATTCTGCCACCTCTCGTTTGCAATGGTTCGGGCGGTGCACTCGCGGAGGCATCGGCTACCTGCTTGCCACCGTGGCCGTCAAAGATCCCAAAAAGGGCAAAGTTCCGCTCTGGGGCGAGTTGAGGTACCCTGCATCCAACGCATGCTGTGGAACATGTCCGAATCTCAAGCACCTCTTGAGCTCCGCACAGCTCAGCCAGCGATGCGCAAATTACAGTTTCATCCTGCGCCAGCTCAAACCCAACCAAGCGCAACAAAACATACAATCAAAAATGCCGGCGTCCTCCATTTGCCGTCGCATGCCCTTCTCACCATATGCGCCAGCACGAATACCGCACCAAGCCACCTCCATGGCAGCAAGACTACGTAGACATCTGTGTAAACAAGGCTCCCAGCTCACAACAACCAATTCATGTCCAAAATTGTATTGCCCTGTGGTATGGTCGAAGCCTCGGCTTGGGTGATGTTTTCTGCTGCTGCCACTGTCGCAGCTTTCTTCACCTGCATGTCACATGTTTGCCAGATCAAGAAGGCCCTCAAGAGGAACAGAATCATCCCATGGCCTCTGGAGCCAGCTCCACCACCTTATCCAGCTCCTTTGTGCAAATCTCGCTCAGCACAAGCGAAACTAGTCATAGATAAGCTCTCACTCGATGGCGATTCTAGCAGCCATTACTCTCCACTTAAGAGTCCTCTTCAGCTTTTCTCTTCTCCATGGATGGCTGAACCTAAGCGAGGCATCTCAGAGAATGCCCACCTGGACTGCCTAGTCCCATCTGGGCCTTGCCTGGGTCTAAGGATACTGGAGAATCAAATGCAAAATCAAGTGGGGACTACAATATTCAGGGGATTGTATAAGTAGATTACCGCATAATGGAAATTCAAAGGGAAACAAGCTGGAAAATGAAATGTAAACTGGGAAACATGACTTTGGCGCTTGAGAGAGCCAATCCATTTCATTCCCCCTTTTTACTTTGGAATTCATCGTTTAGACAAGAAATTCTGACGGCGTAGATATTTCAGTGCATGTCCTGACAGCTTGCCAAAAAGATTACGGATGTGCGCTGGGCTAGCTTGTTGACTCCTCCGGCTTGCCACACATCAAAGCTTCGCTGGCCAGGCTTGGTCTCTTGTTTTGTGGAGCCCGTAAAATCTTATGATGTGATCCCCGCTTGCTGATCAGTTGCAAAGATACTGCCGGAAGTCCGGTTACTCCCAGCAGTAAGCACTGCAAAGGATACATAAACCTGGACAACTTGTTTTGTCCATTTACGGGCCTATGGCACGGGCCTGATGAGCTCTCACCGCACATCTGGGCAAATCCTGTTCTAAAATCGACTGGAAACCGTACTGTTCTACGATGCAGACTACATCAGAAATCCGCTGCTGAGAGGAGTGAGTGTCACTGTCCGAAAGACACGTGGGAACTAAGCCTGCGCAACGTGCTCCTGAAATCTAGGACTAACCATTCCCGACTATCTTCTGTGTATTTGAAGCCCTGGGTTGCTGGGGCGCTTTGACGTTTTATGTATTTGTCCTTCGAATTTGTGCCTGCAAGTTCAATCTTGTGTCACCAAATTGGTGTTTCCCAATTTGTATTCAAATGCATGTTTCAAATCGGTGTTTCGAAATGTGTGTTTCAAAACTTGTGTTTCGGACCCACTACGCGTGCACTCGTAGTCTGAGCTGGCATTGACATGCTTTGCAACTACCTGCAGCAGTCTTGGAGCCCTGCTCCCATGGGCAGGTACTGGCCATGAAACTCGGGCTCTGTCATGATGGTGTCACCTATTCTGGAGTGGACAATCATCGTCGTGACATATCTGATAGGTACTTGAACAATCTTCTGCACATTCACATATGCATCTGTACTCTTACTGCAAAGGTACAAGGTGAATTGCTTGGGACCAATGCTCTATGGCTTCACCCGCCTTCTTCCACCTTGTGCTGACGTAAGGTCTCATCATCCTTGAGACTCTTGCCCTGGTACTTCAGCCTCCGTACACGTCAACAGCAGTTGCTAAACCCTGCCATTAATCCCAAGGTCATCTCAACTGATCTGTTGCGTTGGCGAGCTCTACTGACAACTCTCGATGGCTCACGACTTGCACCATGGCCATGTCCATACACGGTGTGGCTGAGGCAGAATCTTGTAGCAGTCCAAGCCCTTCTTCTCCTTGCACACAAGATTTTCCAGACGTTTTCCATTTTGCCATGAATATCCGCCTTGCCTGGATCTTTTTCCGCAGACTTTCTATCAACTCATCGGGGTTGAGGTCGATTTCCACATCGTCCTGGAAAGCTAGGATTGGGATGGTGCGGATCTGTTGGCATCGCGGTAGCGCTCGGCTCCTTTCGGGACTTGGACTCTGGCCTTAGCCATGCAGGACAATGTCATTTCTTCTTTGCTGCACCACAACACTTACAACAAGTCGCCCTGAGCCCGTGACGGCCTGAGGTATATCTTCATGACAAGCGCAAGTAAGACCAGCCTTGTAAAATGCAATCACAGACCTAGTCTGGACAGCCAACTCTGACAGCGAAAAAAGAAGCTGCTTTGACTGTGTGGAGGGCTGGCAGTCATCAGCCACTGGATGAACCAAAAATGAGCCAAATGTTTCGGAGACGTTACGCTCTGTGTCACTGTCTCATGGGGGGGAAAGCTTGGTCAGGCAGGAGGAGGAGTGAACGTGGGAAACTCTGATGTGCTTCATGAGAACGACAGCTCAAGTTGCCATGCAGGCATAGTTTTGCACTGATGCACAGATATGTTGGTTGGAATGTCGAAGTCGCAATGTATACAACAAATGGGGGTGTGCTTAAGCAATGGTCCCAATTTCTGGGTTCCTGTATTAAGGACTCGAGCCGCCTGGAGACTCAAGCCAAGTTTGGGCACACACCCATCTGTCTTTCGGTACCAGATTGCTGTTCCTGGTCCAGAAGTTCAGGTTTGCTCGGCCGGCTGCAGCTTTTCGCTAAATCACAAACAGTCTTTCCTGCTCCACTGCTGGCACCTTGGCTTGCTGGATGGTCATCCTCTTCGCTTGCTTACATGTTGAAAACTTGGCAAAGGGTTCTGGGTGTTGGGAATTGTCCTGGTCATAGCTTCAAATAATCAAGTTATGCAGACCGAGCATTCCAAAAGCCACTTTGTGCTCTTTGTACATACACCTGGCGGTTGCTCACGAAAGGGTGACGGGTCTGTGCGCCGCCTTCTCTCTCGCTCCATGTCTTGTGGCAACCAGGTGTTCTGACACTATCCAACAGTCCCTTAGGGAAGGGGGTGGCGGCAAATCGGCATGACATGTCACGCACTGCCGCTGGTACTGTCCAAGCTGCATCCGCTACTGTGCACTCTCCGAGCTGTTGGTATCAGCATGTGTTGCCAGACTATCAGAGAAAGCTAAGGAGGAATGACATACTGCATGAAAGATATTGTTCGAGGCAACACAGCCTTCGTCGGAAGAGAGACAAGAACGATGTGGCCCAGCCACAGCCACAGCCAGGTATGGTGGTCGCGACATGACGTCGCCCGCCCTAGCACTCTCGCAATCCATGCAAGCCCTGCTTCAGAGCTTCGGATGCTGCACAGCATCAAAATTCTCAAGCACCCAAGGCACGGTTTTCCCCTCGCGGGGACGGACTGGGGGAGTCCTGTTCCATAGCCAGTGACAAGTAATATCAAACCGGAAGCACGCACAACCTTCAGCCACGTCCTGCTGGCCACCGATCTGGTAGTATTCTGTTCTGGGGGTAGTTTTGCCAAAGCTGGGCTGTCTCCTGTAGTCCTGAGCAAAGGATACCACAGACTGTTGCCCTACACAACAGCCGCTTCCCCGAGCGCGCGCTTTGCCCAGCCTGCGGTGACTCATCGGCGTCATTTTCATCGGGGGAATCCCACTCAGCACCATCATTGACTCCCACTCGCTGAAACCTTGGGGTACATCAGGTTAGATTCAATACTCTCCGCTGCAGCAACTGCATAGCTGCATAGCCAAGAAACTCTACCTTGTGTACCTTCACGGGAGTCAGCGACGATTGGGAAGGAGTCCTGCAGGTCCCATGTCTCAGGCTCAGAGGTCCTGAGATCCGGAGCGGCTGCGGTCCTCTGTAGCACACTTTCCCGGCTCGGTATGACAGGCGGAGCCTGCAAGCAGGCCCAAGACGGCTAGACCGACACGGTCTGCGCAGGCGCAGCCCCTTCCCTTCCCCATTCCCTTCCCCATCTCCGCACCCTGCGTCGCGTGCCGGCCATGGCAGGCCGGCGTCGGGCAGCCCAGCGTCGCGACGCCGCGACGCCAAGCAGAGCCTGAGCATCAAATGGCCAGGATGGTACGCAGATCTGTGCCGTAGTTTTGTGTCATTTGCCGTGAAGTGGCTGCGAAGCCCAGTGTGCCCACCAGCCAGGAATGGGAGCGGTGCGGAGCTGCTTTTGGCTTGTGGTGAATCAGCTCCTCTGCCTTGCGCTCAGCCGTAGACCTTTGCCACCCATGGAACCGCATGGAAGAGCGGCAGTCACTTCGTAAGTTAACAAGAAGATACGAGGCATCCGCACGGTTTCGTTGAGTTCCTGCACCACGACATGCGCCTCCTCCACGGCGCCATGTGCCTCCCTGCAGTGGGGCTTTGGAAAAAACAAAACGATAAGAAGCCGCCTGCAGTATAGAAGCCCGGGAAAATCTACCAGCCACCTGTCACCTGTATCTGCGACCTCCTTCAAACTCTCAAGGCTGCCATGGGTGGGAGAATAGGGACGTTGCAAGGTCGACGCTCAAAAAGTTCAGTATGTCAAGCAGCAACGGTGCGGCCTCTTCACCGTCTGCAAAGTCTGACGCACGCTCTGTTCGAGATTGTTCCCCAGGCGTCGCGCCTCCCATGCCCACACATCGCCTCACCCTAAGCTTGTTTGAGTTTCCACCGCACCTCAGTCCCTGCCAGCTGCAGGATATCCTTGGCAACGTCACTGGCCGGCGGGACATCACGGCCGAGTCGATGTGATAGCCTTAGTTTTGTTTCCCATGCCAGTACGTAGGCGGTGTGCCACCAGGGGCTGCACTGTTCCCGGACGGCAGGGATTTCCGTGAGCGCCGCAGCCACCAGGGGCGCAGCCTTTCATCAAACATGAAACACTTGAAAATGTCGATTTGGCATCGGGCTTTTTGGAAGCTCAGACGCTCACCTTGGCAGCCTTCTGTAGCACACTTACAGGGGGACCTCGAAGATGCGGCAGATGTGGCAAGTGCAGCCGACGTGAGTCCTCACAGCAAAATCGCGCCGGCAAAGATTCGAGGGGCCTTCCAACAGTAATAATCAATCCTCGGTCTTGTCGTCCAGGTACATGGAATAGCCTTGGCAGCAGCTTGTGCTACGAGCATAGTCCGATTAAGATTCCCATTGCTGAGAGCTGTACTGAAGTGGTCCAGCTGTCCACTCGTGGGCCGTGTCATGGGAGGTTGTGTCTCAGCGAGAGCCGCGGCTTCGGCAGCGAGCAGTACCTGTCAGTAGATGAGGGCTCTGACCAAGGAATCTGAGCAGGCTTCCTGCATCCGAGACACAACACATGCAATTGCAAATGGCATGGTGCTGTGATGCTTCCGAAGGGTTTACGGGCCGGCAGTATACAAGCAATCACGAATATTATGCGTGTGTGATGAACACTTCCTGATGCTAGAGCGCGTTGGTGCTGCAAGCAAAATGACTGCGCAACTGGGGTGCAGCAGGTGCAAAGAATGCATTCCGCTCTGGAACCCAGCAATCCCCTGCGCAAACTAGTTGCGGCCTTGTTTTTTGAAACGTCTTGGGGCAGCAAGCGAGACCTTGTTATCCATACTGCAGAACGCCCACGAATAAAGAGGTCTGTAAAGTCCCTGCAAACCCAGAAGGTGCAGCACACACTTTTGCCGGCAAGTCAGATCCAAAAGACGTCACAACTTCTGGAAACCTGACCAGATGGTTATCATCGATTGATATTTCTGCTAGCTGACAACACAAGGTGAGATCGACAGCACAAGCCTCGGCCGAAATGGCCAGCATTTCCGCAAGCACTGGCAAGACCTTGGAAGCAACATAACTATCTTCCAACAAGAAGCGAACTTAGCATCGCTGGAGGCCGAGGCCACATCCACCTACGGATACTTGAAAGTGGCCTCCAGAACATCGTACAGTGAGATTGCTTATAGTCTACTGAGGTTCGCGACCATCTGGAGCTGCTCGTGGGCAGCTGGTGCGGGGTTCACAATGAGTATCCCAGTCCTCCCGCAAACTATTCACTGCAGGAACACAGGAACGCATTGGCAACATCTTACGTTGTGTGATAAAAGTCAAAACAGCCAACCAATACGATTTCACTGTGGCTTTCGAGGCCCGGGAGAGGTGTCCGCGTACTTGGGGGTACGGTACAGACTCAACAAGCCCTTCTCCTCAGCAGGGAAACTATCGAAGGTTTGAACTGTGGTATTGGCTGCTGCAACGGTTCAGATGTGGTTCTTGGTTTCTGCACAATTTGCATGTGATGCTCAATGTCCTCACCCAAGCTCCCAATGCCGAGCCGGACGGGCGCCGGTGCTTGCAAGAAGTATTGTCATGTTTGAATATGCCGTTGTTTTTTAACAACAAGCCTACATTCTTAGGACATTGCTTTCTGCTGCGATTTCCTACGAAGGTCACAAGAGCAAAACTCGCACGGCATCCTCACAGCACTTCGAGGGCATGTACTGCGGCAGACTGAAATTTCACCTGGAGAAGCGTCAGCAATGCCCCCATGTAATCAGCAGGACAACAGATTCCCGTGCTAGCCGTGCTTGGGCTGCCACATGCAAGCATAGGTCCCAATGACATGGATTTCAACCTGCAAGGATGAGGCGCAATGATAAACTGGAACATGGAAAAGCAGATTGACAAGACATGGAAGCTACTACCGTGATGGGATTAATATGGGGGCGAGTATATGGATCCATTGGTCACATTGCCACAATGATGGAGAATCAAATGACAAGCATAGTAGAAAATGAAGCGGTTTTACATATGTATGTATGCATGCATGCATGTATGTATGTATGTATGCATGTATGTATGCATGTATGTATATATATATATAGGTACACTCCAAAGGCGCCTTCGAAAAACCCTCTGTCTTCTGGCATCATCGCGCACCGGGTACCTTGCACAAAGAGGTGCTCAACTTGCACTCGCACATTCACGAATGGCATTGCTACCAAACAATTCAACCTATTACCCCATATAGCCCCAATGTAGCCCTATATAACCGTACATAACCCCAATATAACCCCTATATTACCCCAATATTCAGCCTAGTTGCCAAACCAGAGCACAGACCGAAGGCCAATGCTCCTTGAGCTGGTTCAGCCTGGCTCCAAGCAGAAAGCTCAAAGATGCTCCAAGATTTTGATGCACATAATAGTAATGATAGTAGTAATAACAAGAATAGTACTAATGCTAATAACTGTCATAGTAATAATAAGTATAATAAGAAAAGCTATAATAGTAGTAGTAGTAGTAGTAGTAGCAGTAGTAGTAGTAGTAATAGTAGTAGTGATAATATTAGCAACAGTACTAGTAGAAATAGTAATAGTTCATGCTGAGCAGCGAGCAGTCGGAAGTTGAGGTTGTCAGTGAAACAAACGTCGTATGGGGGATCAATCAGCACCAAGGCCCTGGCAACAGTCAGCTTTCAGATCGAAAAGTTTGGGGCAACTTTCCAGAAGGCCTCCCAGGCTGGGAGAGGAGTTCCAGGTGCTCCAACATCTTTGGAAGACCCCTGTGCAGATTCGCGGCAATGGCAGTGTGTTTCGTAATGGAGGATGCTGCCTGTAGGCATCTTCGCGCAAAACATTCACGTGCAAGTTGCAATTGAAGGAGGCCATGCTTTCGCCTCAGAACTTGGCAAAGCATGTAGGATGCCCAGAAAGAGCATAAAACCAAACTGCCGCCAATGCGCAGAGAGCAGCATGTGCAGACTCCGCTGACTCAAAGAGTACAGCTCGCGAGCCTGAAGTGAGAATCTTTGCCGCCAGAATCGGGGAGCCTGGGTAGACGCCTGAAAAAGTGGCTGAACGTCAATGAGCTCAGCATAACATGTGAGTATTTGTGGAATCTGCTGTCCAGAACTGCATTTCAGTTGTAGCCTGGCTCCAGAGAACATCCGCCACTTTGACACGCGGTCACCAATTCGACGAAGGCCTCCACGGCCGTGGGCAGCCTGGGATAGCACATACTCAGTCATACCACTGCGTCTCGCTGGAAGATCGCCTGTTTCTCAGGAGAGCTTCGGCTTCATCCATGAGCTTGCAGCTTTTAGAAGGCGTCCGATGCCTTCCTCGCTGCGAAAGCAGCTGCCTTCCTAGCGAAGGCTGTGTCATTCAAAAAAGCTGAGCTTGACCCGCACACAACTCCAAGACAGCACCATGCGAAAATCGCCTCCATCTGCAAATGGTACATGCCGGAGCCAGCATGTGTTTCCACGTAGACCATAGGAGACTGCGACGGTAGGTTTCAGTTGTTTGCCACTGGTTGTTCATGCAGCTCAAGCTGCTCAACGCACACACTTAGCTTTCTGATGTAATTGGCATGCTGGCCTTGGCGTTCATGTCCTGAAGCAGCATCAACAACGTCACCAGCACGACATGCTTGAAGCAGTCTGCCATACTGCCAGCTTGAACATAGTGGTCCTTGGCAGAAGCACACTCCAGCAGAAGCTGACCAAAAACTGAAGAAAAAAAAACATATGGAGGATTGTGTAGACAAATGTGAATACATAGTCGTTAGTGAAGCCCTGGCTGGCCTTCACCATTTTAACAGCAGTGGTCTGAGTGGAAACCTGAGGCTTTTAAAAGCCCCTGATCCCTCTCTGTGTACTGATGCATTTTTCCTCCTCTTGCAAGACCTCTGCATTCGAGCAAAGCAAAGCAATCAAGCCACGTATGGAGGCCGCAAAGCCCAGCCAGGTGCTCGGCAGATGGAATCCTGACAGCTAATGAAGCCTTCCCTCGTTTTTTCAGCCAATCATCTAAGTGCCAGAGCCATACCGAATCAAACTGCTGTACAAAGAAACTTCCAGAGCGAGATCGCGCACGGGCTGCAATGCCATCGCCCATTGAAGGTCTACCAGCTCTTGAGCAGAGAGGGCTGGTAGATGCTCCTTAGAACACCGAGAGATAAGGAAAAGCTGGCGGGAGCGGAGGCAGCTGTAAATCTGCCAATGGGGCACCCAGGTACGCTGCACAAGTGCCCGACGCAGACGCTCGGGACTAACAGAAGCAGCGGCAAAGGCAGCTGCCGACGTGGCAAGTCCAAGAGGTGAGAACTCTGGCACCAAGGGGACCTCGCGTCTGCGAGCAGATTGTGTACTCTCTGTGTACATCAAATGGTTTGCTCTACCAAATTGCGGGGAAGCTGCAGCATGCTTTGCTAGCCTCAGTCTGCATGCCCTTTTCAGACGACACGCATGTCCATTAAAGCTGGAATGGACCATGACTGCATCTTTGCATTGCCAGGATTCTTCAACATCAGATGCTGCGGTGCTGTGTCAGCCTGAGCAAAGTGGAGCTGTGGAGCTTGTATACCGCATGCCCAAATCCGTTTGCGCACTTCCTAGAAAAGGCCCACCCTCTCCTTCCCCGCCTTTGCTTTCTGCCTATAACTAATGCACCAGCTTGAAATAATGGCTTCTGTTGGTCATCCTAGACCGAGAAGACGACTTACCATGATGTGCTTGTCCTGCTCGTTTGGGAGAAGCTCAGGGTGATGCGTGAGTGACACTCCCTACTCCGTACATCTCTCCCTCGGAATTATCAAGATCGTCCCGCCACGCGTCTTGAAGATTGACAAGAAGCCGATTTTTCTGTGACGAGAGACCAGTCACTACTCTCACGTTGATTCAGTTTCTGTTTCCATTATCAGTCACCGTGCTAGTTTCTTCCATCACTGCTACTGTGCGAAGCCTATCTCCAGGACCCTAAACACGGGTGTCAACAAAAAGTAAATACCTCAATCTGGACACAGAACTTAAACAAAGCTAGGCTCGAACACAAATCTTCAAGCCCCAGATGAAAAGAACGAAAACCCCAGACCCCGAAGCCCGAGCCAAACCGGGCTGGCTTGGGATATCTTCCGTTTTGGAGGCTTGGGGGGCTCCAAGAGGTTCAGAGGATCTCCCAAGAGCTACTTACATCGACCAAGAGCCTTGGCCAGTGCCCAGGCCAGCATCGCCACATCTCGAGCATTCAGGCTTGGAATAGAGCGCTCTGCCTGCGTTCTAGACTGGACTGGACTATGATAATTCCCAAGGGAGTTGTCACTACTGCAAGCGTGACGGTTGCTAGTGGTGTTCATAGCTTCCCTTGACCTGGCCGGCAATGCCCTACTTAGCGTCCATATGTTGTGGCGTAGCAGATACTTTCACAGACCCAAATAGAAGAAGCCCCAAAGCTTAGGGGTCCAATACAGCCTGAATATCATGTTTCTATCCAATGCCAGTCTTCAGTTCAAGGCTCTGAATTCTAGAAAAAGTTGCCTACCCTGCGGCTGCACCACTGATCATGGACACGAACATACTATGGAC